ACAGACAAAACCAACCTATGATAATAGAAGAGAGAAAAGAAGTTTCTTTGTGGGGTAGATACTGATTTGGGACAAGGCAGCTTTCTGAGGTGCTGGAAATGTTTTAGATCCTGATGTAGATGAGGTTTATATGTATGTACATAAGTGTGTGTGTGTGTGTGTGTGTGTGTGTGCGTGTGCGTATCTAAAAATCGTGCAAGAAATTTCAATACAAAAGTAAACAAAAAGAAAAAAATCACATATATGTTTGGTAAATCAACATTCACAACAAAAGTTCATCTTAATAATCCTTACTAATGAATAAGGAACTAAGATGTGGAATGCCAGCAGAAAACACAGATTCTGTGCACACCTGGACATATACAATTCCCTGCACGCCGGGACCTAAATAATTAATGGCTTGTTCAGCCTCATTGACCCTCATACTTGGAAGAGATTTTCTATGTCATTTAATTCAATGATTCATCTAAAGCTTGTCTGCAGCCTTCCCTTTGGGTGGCCATTCTGCTTTTGTGAACAAAAGCCCTCGGGTGACTAGAATACTGTTGTGACCTCCTGAGGCCAACTTACTGTCATTGGAAGCCCATCCCCAGGCAAAAATTCCATCCTATTCATTGGTTTTACTGGTAACCATTGGGGTCTTGCAGTTAAGCAGACAAAGGATTATGCTATGGCTATGTCCCCCCGAACCCCAAACTTTGTCCTATATATATATATAGGACAAAGTTTGGGGTTCGGGGGGACATATGTGTGTGTGTGTGTATTTGTTTTTTTTTCCCCATATAGGCATATTTTCAGGAACATTTGTCTTATTGTTTCTGCCCTTTTTAATTAATAACAGTGCACCATTTCACCAGGAACTGTGTTCTCTCATATACATCTTCTCAATGGTTCCCCCTCAGGGATGAAATGGGATAATGTGGGTATGTCATTTTGCTTGGATGTCTCAGGATCCCTTTGCTCTCCCATGCTCTGGAGCTAAACACCCCTGTTCTCCCAGTGCTCAGCTTCTCCTGCTGTCAATACAATGATTCATACATCCACAGTCCATTCACTCTTTCAACACACATTTATTGATCATCTTCTATGTGCCAGCAATGTTTTAGGGATACAGTGATAAGCACATAAGAGACTTGTGGCATCTGCCTCCTTAGGCTTTCACTCTACTAGGGATATTAATCAAATATGTACATAAATAACTGCAAAATGTAAAAATGAAACTCTGATGAACTGCCAGGGAAAGGTTCATGATATTATGAAAGCCTCAAATAGGGAGTCGTCCTCATCAGAGAAACCTTCTCTCGAGAAGTGATGACGGAGTGAAGGACAAATGAAAATTAAAATAAGCTAGGAACAGAGCGGAGAAATGTCATTTCAAGAAGAGGACAGAGCATGAGTAAGGCCTTATGGCAGGAAGCAAAAGGAAACATGCCACATTCGAAGAACAGAAGGAAGGTCAGTGTAGCTGGAGTTGAAAAAGCAAGAGCGATACAGTGTAAGAAGAGCCTAGAGAGGTAGGAAAGAGTCCTACCGTTCAGGGGGGAAATGATTTCAAATGCTTATGGAGAACATACCTTGGAAAGTAGCAGATCAAACTAAAGAGAAAGAAGGGTTTTTGAGAGAGCACAGCTTAAATTAGTAATTTGGGAATAGTAATGCTACATCAAGGTGAATAGGGAGTCAGTGGCATGGAGGCAGTTGTCAAAAATGACCAGGTCAAGGAACTGGCAGGCCAGGTGTTGGGTGGGTCATCTTATTGGACATTGAAGTCACCCACAATTATGGCGAGGCTTGAGGTGGAAATGAAAACTGTAACTCAATGCCAGAGGCCTTGATAAATGTGGGAAAGTGACCGGGAGGTTACAAATAATTGAGAACTGACCATAGTTGCCATGGTTCTGTAACAACTTGTATAATTTCTCTGTGGGGAATTACATCTCCTAAAGGTTAATGCTGATGGCCGTTGCAACTGAGCATGATTACAGTATTTATTAGCTTTATATAGCCCTATAATCCTATGATTTAAGTACTTCTTAAGCATAGCAAAAAGTTGGAGAAGAATTTCATGGGAGGAGAATAAATAGGGAAAGCTAAGATACAAGTCTAGGAAGGCCCCCTGTGGTGACTTATGCCAAGAAGGGTGCAAAAATTTCCTCTGTAGGAGCTGAAGCATCAGCAAGGACACCATTGCTTTGTGTAAGGTTGTGGTAACCATACTTTAGGAAGGGTCAGTTGGAAGTGGTGTGATGGACAGATTGGGAAAGGGGAGAAGACCAAAAGAGCATAGTTATGAGGCAACTACTGTTGTTGGGGTGAGGGCTGATTGGACTTTGAATGAGATCAGTGGGCAAAGAAGGGAAGGAAAGTGTGGTATACAATATCTCAGAGGACTCACTTATCAGCCAGGAAAGCAATTAAGTACTACAGTGACTAGGAGAGAGAGAAAGCCATAGGCAGAAACCAGAAAATCAGGAAGAAGTTCATTTTGTGGAAGAATACACCTTACATTTCTAGTTCTGGAGAACATCAAGGGGAGGTATCCAGGTGATGACAAATGTAGGTGCTAAACTCCAGGGAAAGGTGGACCGGAAAAACCCCCGTTGTTAACCCCTAACCAAAGATGCCCATCCTGGCCTCCTGTTTTTTTTTCTTTTGAGTCCACAAGAACTTCTCCCTTCACTTCCCCTGACTTCTTCCACTAATTCCTAGTTGCTTACAGCTTACTTCTGAAGACCGTGTCTCCTCAGCTCCCCGCTTTGTTGTTCTCTTCCCCAAACATTCTCTGGTTTCTTAGAAAGCCTCCTCTTTCTTGCTTGGTTCCTCTCATCTGTGTCCCCACAACCCTGATGTCTTGTCATGCTTCCCTCTTATCTATTCCTTCCCTCCGACTTTGGGCTTTAGAGGACAGGGACTCATTAAGTGGGTCTATGTATTTTTTCCTTTTCTGGTTCAGTAATAATTTGCTTAATGAATTAGCTAATTAACAGGTTTATTTTAAGGGTTTTACATTTTGAAGCCTTCATTTAAGGAAAAAAGTAAATGGGATGAGGATGCCTGGGTGGCTCAGTGGGTTAAGCCTCTGCCTTTGGCTCAGGTCATGATCTCAGGGTCCTGGGATTGAGCCCCATATAGGCGCTCTGCTTGGCAAGGAGCCTGCTGCCCCTTCTCTCTCTGCCTGCCTCTCTGCCTCCTTGTGATCTCTCTCTGTCAAATAAATAAATAAAATCTTTAAAAAAATAAATGGGATGAAAATTCAAAACAAATCCATAATCCCAAATGTCATAGATGAATTTACAAAGTTTGGGAAGTTGTGCACATTTTCCCTATGGTCAGGTGTAGCTGGGCCCTGCTTTATTTTGTCCCCTTTCCTAATGCACTCTCTTATGAAGTGTGTAGAAACCTAATCAGAAAAAGCAACATTTATTCTTGGAAGTGGGGACAAACTTTTCCTGTTTCTTGCTCTTCCTCTCTCACATTGTCTTTGAAAGTCTAATGAGATTTAGATGTTCCGTATGAACTACTGGAATATGTATTTGCCTTCCAATAAAACTGGGTCTTTTAAATCCCAGATCTCCCATTTCAGCAATACCCCTCTCTGCATCTGCACAGCACAATGTCGCAGGAGCACCCTGATTAGAAGGCATGTTGGTGGCTGACACTGCAGCTGGCTCACTCAGAGTAGAGAGGAAGAATACTGAGTCTTGAGGTTGGGAATGGCATACATTTAATGGAAACTTCTAGAAAAGGGAGCCAGGGGAGCTCAAATAGGTAAGAGGAAACCTCAAAGGTAGTGTTGAAAAATCCAGGAGGAGAATTTGCAAATCTAAAGAGACGAAAAGTAGATTTCATAGTTGTCAAGGGCTGGGGTAGAGGGACACTGGGGGTGACCATTAATGGGTGCAGAGTTTTTGAGGAGATGATGAAAATAATCTGTAGTTAGTGGTAATGGTTGCACAACTTCGTGGACTTATCAAAAACCACTGCATTGTACATTTTAAAACAATAAAAAAATAATTAAAGAAAAGAAATTGCAGGATGTGAAACATGGAAAACTAATCAAGCTAATACAATAAAGGAAAAGATGAAGACTGATGGATTGATTGCCTGTATGGAATCTGGTGATTAGGAAGCCAGTGGTGGGCTTAAAGAGTTTAGTTTCAAAGGAATAGTCACTCCCATCTCTTCTTCTTTCTGCCCCATAAATATATAGTGTGTAAAGTTATTCCTTCATATACATTCATCTCTATTGGCAGAATGTCCGGTGGTTTTGCAAATTTAGGGATAGGTTCAGTTTACATAAGCTAAAGGGATATTCCAGATGAGTTTTGGGAATTATGATTATGTGTGCTCCTGCTCAGTAGGACATAGCATAAGTGTCATTCTTCCTGTCCTTTGAAAACCAGATCTGTAGTGCAAAACCAGGTCAGTTCATATAGTCTTCATCTCAGATGTAATTTCCAATGACCCTAAATGGAGCAGGTATTACCTTCTTTGAATTCTGATAATAACTTCTAGTTGTATGGCTATTCTGCAAGTTATTTGCCCTGTCTTGCATCAGTTCATTGATGGAGTACTGCTGTCCCTATGACCCGCATAGGTCAACTGCATGTATTCTATAGCCATATTTCCTTGATTTGTAAATGAAGGGTAATAAACCTTAATCTGAGCACCTCTTCTGAGAATATTATATGACAGTGCTTTGAAATCTACTAAGCAAATGTAAATACATTTTTAATTGATTCTGTTGTAGAATTGAAGACAGTTAAATCCTTTGTTGCTTGTTAGCCTTAGACTGGTATAGGACTGACCCCCTTAATGCCTTGTATGTAGGATCACAGGCCTCGCATCCATGTATAGCTTGCTAAGGCCTGCCTAGCTCAATAGTAATTGGTTGAATTGAATACTGTTTAAATGAGAAAAATTTAGTGTCACACCATGATTGAATTCTCTCTTGTCTTCATCTTTCTTTGTTAATTTGTTTTATTCTGCTCTTCACGTAGGTTTCCCAAATGAGCCTGCTTCCATCATTGCCCTCAGCACCATTAAGGAATGGCTGGCCAAGAATCATCATGAGGTAGGAGGAACAACAAAATGAGCAAACATTTAAGATGGCCTCATTTGATCCTCAATTTCAGAAAAAGCAGAAAAATATATCCATAAATATCAAGTAAACATAATCATTGAGGTGGACCATGCTTCATTGGGGTTATATGGATGATTGAATATTTTCCTGTAATTAATTTTCTGAAGGGATTTTGGTGATTGGTTTTTGTGGTGAAGATAGGCAGAATGATCAGATTCACCTAGCTATGATCTCATTTTTACGTTAGGTTTTTAAGTCTCGTTTTTTTCATGAAGTTATCTTTGTTGACATGGTGTACAGTCGTTTTTTGGTATCCTGAGGTCTCTTTATTTATAATTAATCATTTCCATAAAGTAACTTCTGAGTGTGAGATTAGAGTAAGCCTGGATAATTGATAGCTAAATTCCTATGATCAGGATTTTTTATGAAACTAAATGCTTCTCTCAGACTTTTCACCATGCCTCCTATTCTTATTTAATAAAATCTTTAGGCTGTGTTTATTGATGAACAGAATTACTCAAGTTAACAAAGTAACAGAATAAGTAAAGACACGGTGGAGGCTTAGATTTCAGTTTGGGCAACTAACTGATTGTAACAATAGGTTTCGTACGGTGCGCAGCCTTGTGTGTTTTTCTTCCGATTTTGTTTTTCTCCTCAGATATTCATGTGAGTGCTATAAAGAATATTGTCCCATTTAGGATAGACCATGAATTTAGCTTTCTTCTTGGGTAGAACATGGATTATTTAGAAATGTTTGGGTATGGAAACAGACAATGGGGAGTTTGCTATAAGAGTAGCTCTTGGTGCCTTCGTGTGTTTAAAGAAACTGCAGTGTCATTTTCTGCTAGTGGTTATCTTTGTTGACATGGTGTACAGTCATTTTTTGGTATCCATTTCTTTCTAGTATCCATTTCTTTCTAGTATACATTTCTTAAGTAGATACAGAAATTGTTAAACTCCAGTAGAGGTAAAGACCACACGGCCAAACATCTCCATTTCGGTACTTGTTCTTTCTTCTCCTCTTACTATGAAAGATATATATAACTTAAATTTAGAGGATGACTATAATAACCACACAAAAAAGCAGAATTTTAAAAAATAGTTAAAATGTCCAGTTTACAAAACATTTCTTTAACATGTATTATTTTCACAACAATCTCATGAAATATCTAGGATAGGTATTGTTATTCTTATTCTCATTTAGAATCAAAAGGTTAAGTGACATTCTCAGGACTTCAGAGTCACTGACAGAGTCAGACTCTGTCCTCCTGACTCTAGCAGCCATTTCCTCCTTGGGGAGATCCTGAACCAGGGAGAGACATTTAGTCCCTTTGAAAGTGGTATTTTAAATGTATCTCTTGGTTACAGTAAAAGTTCCTCACCTGGACCATCTGCTTAGCAAAAATGTAGAGTGTTCATGAATAAAAGTTGATAATGGAGCTTGTACATTGGTGTAAGCCCACTATTACTACTAATAATCCAAGGGTATTCCCTACTGATGGATTCACATGTGTCATATTGGTATGTGAGGGAAGTACACACATCCACCCCAAAATCATCAAGGAGATGATTATGAAGAACAAACACATTTGTTATATTTACAGCTCATTGACAAATCCTATGATGGATTTTCTCTGGTTAAACTATTCAGAAGGTTATTTTCCATAGAAATGTGTTAACTTAGTGTTTCCCACTTAATGGTTTGTGCCTTGATCTTCTTGTTAGCTTACTCTTTGTCTTTGAGTCTGTTCCTTTGCTTTCATGTCTTTTTTTTTGCTCATTTCTGGGGTCTGTTGTATACAAATTTAGGCATTTTGGTTTGAGGAACACAACTCAGTTATTGCCTTTTGACTTTTGACTTTTGCCTTGCCTATTGACTTTTAAGATGTTATGTGCTAATTTTTTTTTTTTAAGACTTCTTGTTTCAACATGCTTAGGCTAGTTTAAATAAGTTAGTTTGAACAAATCAGGTTGTACTTAATAAATGAATGGTAAGTGGTAGGGCATAGATAAAAGCTATACAAATTTATTATCTTGCAATATTTTGATTTATTTTTAGCTCTGTTACAAAACAAGTAAAGTAGTTTAGGCACTGATAAGTCCGTTGTCTCTTCACAGGAGTATGATTTTGACATTCTCATTGTTTAAGCTACTTATTCATTAATTCCCTCATTTGACAAGCATTTACTGAATCTCACTAAGCATCAGAAACTTTTCTAGATATGAGGGATAGAATGCTGAAAAACAAAATCCTCTTCTTATGATATTCATAGTCTGGGAAAAGAGACATCAACAAATAAAGAAATAAGATAGTTCAGAGAGTACTTTGCAAAGTAAACCAGGATAATTTGATAGTGAGTTATTGGAGGATGTGGTTTTAGATCATTTAGAAAGGGCTCTGAGGATGTAATCTTGGGACAAAGATTTGTGTGATGGGAAGGGTAAGCCAACCATAAAGAGGTCTTGAGGTAGAACATTCAACGTAGAATGAACAGCAGTAGAACAACCCTGATGGGGAAATGAGTTTACTGTTTGCAATTAATGGTAGAGCAATGCAACTGGAGTAGAGACATAAAAGAATGGCAAGAAATGAATTTAGACAAATAGGTAGGGGTCAAATCACAGAGTGTTGTGGTTCATGGAGAAACTTGGATTTTTATTCTAAGTCTAGTGGGAAGTTGTTGAGAGTTTGGGACAGGGAGTGGCATTATGAGATTTCACCTTTAAAATGACAACAGGCTGGCTGCTTCTTGGAAAAGGGACTTTTGAGAGACCTCAGAATAGAAAAGGGAAGACTGATGAAGAGGATCCTATAGTAAATCCAGGCAAGAGATGAGGATTCTTTGAAAGACAGCAATGGTAGAAAAGGAGGTAACAACATCAGGTTTGGAATATATTTTGACAATAGAGCCAGCAGGACCTGTGGATTATTTTAGAGTAGCCCAGCTCATGCTGCAGTTACAAACAAATCTTAGTGCCATAAAACAGCAAAGGTTTATTTTTTTTGCTCACACTATTTATATGTATTGAGTCAGCAAAGGTCTCTGGCTTAGTCAGGAACCCAGGCTGACAGACACTCTACCATGTGAAATATCATCTATCACATGACAGGAAAAGATAGACAATCAAGTAATAGCTCTTAAATGCTTCTACAAAGGAAGGATGCGTATAACTTTTTTCTCACATTTCACTGTCCAAAGCAAGGCACCCAGGAGATAAGAAAATGAAATTCTCTCATATGTTCAGAAGAGAGGCAAATGGATATCAATGAACAGTAATAATGTCTATCGTAGCTGTAAATCGGATGTGGTATATGGGAAAAATGGGAGAATCAAAAATAATAGCTAGGTTTTGACCTGAGCTCCTTGGTAAATATTGGTGCATTTACTAAGAAATTAGGTAGAGGAAAATGTTTAGATGAGAAACAGAAAAAAACAAAAAAAATAAAAAAATAATAATTGAATTACAAATAGTTAAGCCTGAGATGATCTTAGATATGCAATGAAGCTTTCCAATAGTAAGTTGGTTACTTGAGTCCAAAGCTCAAGAAAGAAGTCAGATGGAAGGACATGGTAAAATTGATCAGATTATCATAACTCTAACCCTGGGTTTGGATCTTAGTTTGAGATTAGCTGAATGAACTATATGAAAACGAGTCTTGAAATTCAAGAGCTAGAACAAGATAGAGCAGGGTCTCATGAGTGACCAGAATTGCAAACTGTAAATCCACAGGAAAGCAAGAGAGTTCATTTACATTCTCTCTCAATCTCTTTCATATCTCTATTTCATTTATTTATTTATTTATTTGTTTGTTTATTTATTTTTTGGCACATATTCTCCACTACCCATTCACCAGCTTAATATGGCCACATGATGACTGGGACCCACTCATGAGTCATGGAGTCCTGCTCAATGCAAACCAGGGCTGAGGTTGGTGAGCAAAGTTGCATCTTCTGGATCTTTCAGCTGTTTATATCCCCTGAAATTTCCCTCTCAAGAAATAGGGAATCCATGTAAATGTGAATTGTATCAGTGGCCATACTTCTCTCAGTCAGATAAGTATGCAATTCAGACTTCATGATTTTTGATCACTGATAATTGATGTTGTCATGTGATTAGCGAGCCTTCATATTTCACCACTTATTTACCCTCTGATTTCTAAACCATCAGGAAGGGACATTTCTATTTTTTTCAACAATAGTTGATTTGGTTCTATTTAAATACACAAATAGCCCCCATCCAGCCTGTGTTGCTGGGCATTTCCACATTCAGAGAGGCTTCTCTGGAGCACTTGGGACATGACTAGGGAAAATATATTCTGTCATCCACTATTGACTTGTTTTATTTATCCAAAATCTGAACTGTGAGGATGCTGCTATCACCACATATTTAGGGGGACTCAGGGACCTGAGGGAGCCCAGCTGAACAAAGAGTCAGTTGGCTCTGACTGCAGCAGCTCTAAAGGAAGAGATAGAGCAGTGCTTTAGAGCAAAAAGGAGGAATCTCAAGAGGATGTAATTGGGGCAGAAAAATGACTTACCAGGACTAAGAAACATAATGACTTCTTATTGAAAAATTGCAAAACAAAAAAGAATATTCCCTGCTAAGACTTGAATTATTGTTCTCAGAAAACCAGAGAGTTGAATTATCTTACAAAACAGAAATACAAAGAAATGGAAATCATGACTGAGGAGATAAGGCATGTGGCAGAGACCCGGGGATCAAGTGTGAGGTAGGCAAGGGACGAAGATTACCCACTGGCCTTTTCAGTAAAATTAAGAATTAAGAACTTCTGAGTTCAGAAAAATCACAAGAAAAGAATATCAGAGTTCACTCTGAAACAAATGACAGCATGTGGCATGATAACCTTTCCATAAGTACCCATTTTTCTCAAGTAGAAACTTTATTACAGAGACAAGCGAACAAAATAAGGGGCCGTTATGGAAATGAGCAGCAGAAATGCAGCCCAGACTCTCAACTTGGGGTGGCTG